CGTAGTATGTGTTACCAGGTTAGGGTGAGGCCGTAATTTTATTCAAATTTTCCTTATTTTAGTTCTATTACGAGTTGGGGAACTAGCCAAGTGACTCCCGTAGTAATTGTACCTGAAATTTTGGCCTAACCTGGTACACATACTACGTCCCGGTGTCCGCCATCTTTGTACACATACTTCGGGAGTACCAAAATATTGCGCAGAAGTTGTGAAATATAGATATTTTGCTTGTCCTCTTAGTCTATGAGTGGAAAACGGAAATAGAGTAATATTGCGGTAATTTTTTGGACCTGACTGTTGAAATTCTCAGTTCTCGTAGTTGTGTGATGCGATATTGATTATGGAACGATAATACCTCTAGTTAAGTTTGGATGTAACATTTTTTAAGTTATCACCGTCAGGCATGATCATGTTAGATAGAATGAGAATTGCACTATAATTACATGTTACGGAAGTTTCCTGTTGCGGCAATATAAATGTCATGCAGAGGTATTATAGTTAGGAAAAGTGTGACCACCACCTCAGATAAAACACACACAATAAAACAACTAGAATTAGGTTGTCCTGTTAATCAATGAATGCCGTAATGAAGTAGAATAATTTTGCTCTATTTTTTGAAATATTTAGATAGGTTGGGATATATACAATTTTCAGGTTAAAAGAGTTAACCACGATCATACCTAACCACGTCATCAGTGCCGTATGGAGGTCGAATAATTTTGCTGTATTTTTTTGGAATCTGACGAAATATTTTGGTTAAATTTAAATATTTTCTTAGTTATAAGCGGTAACCATAATCGTGTTTTTTAGGATAAGAATTGCGCTGTAATTACTGTTGGCGTCAGTTTTAGAATCTTATGATGGCACTGTGCACTATATTTTGCAGTCTTTTGGTTTTGTGTTGCTTTGTAACCATGTATGCAGTTTTATCCATGATTTGTCTATACGCATTTTTCTTTTATAATTTTGTTGAATACTCGGTTTTATTTATTGTTCGAAGCCGTTAGCCTTGGCTAGACTACTGGATTTCGTGCCCACTGCTTTGAAGCGCGATAGAAGCACGTTTCACTACCCACCACCATGGCAGTTGCATGCGAAACAGAATCCTGATCTGGCCTAGCCGTTATTTGATATTTCTTTATCTATTCCAATAGCTGGAATCTGAAGTTAGGGTGATGTTTTAAAACTTATGTCATATTGTAGCGACCTTTGTTTTCTAATTTCTGATTTCGTACTAAAAACAATAATATAAATATCGCACAGACGCTGTGAAACATCTGTATTGCGCCTGTTCTGTCAGCCCGTGAGTACGGAAAGACTATCTTGTGGTATTTTTTTGACTTTGTGTTGCTTAGTCACCTTGTATGCAGCTTTGTCCGTGTGGTATTTTCTTGACTTTGTGTTGCTTAGTCATCATGTATGTATGCTTTGTCTATGTGCACATTACTTTTTTCAGTTCAGTTTCATTGGGTATTAGACTGCATTGAGTTTCAGATATAATACTAGTCATAAATGTTATAAAAGGATTACCTTCCTCCAAGAAAAGTGATCAGTCATTTGTGACTATCGGAAACTGGAACAAACTCTTTGTACACGACAGGTTCGTTGATATATTATTGTTGAATATGTAACTAAAAACTTAGCAAGTCCTAACGTCAAACAGAATTACCGTCGTGCTATAAGACACAACTGATACTGGTTTTCAGTGCAGGCAATAAACCATAAAGAATTTCCTGATCTATATATTGGAGTCCAGCGTTTCCCAAACTTTTTATACACGGACACTTACGTTTAATTGGCCTCGCGGAACACCAAGAATGATACGGTAAGATTGGCATAGAAAAATCGTGTAACCCAGCGTACCCTGAGAGTCGGGCGGCACGCCAATGCGCCGTGGCGAGTTTCTAAGTGCGTCGCAAAAAGAGAATGAATCTTTCCCCGAGCATCAACGTCCTTGTTTACTTCGTGACATTGGCTTCCATTAGGAAGATGCAAAAAGTGACGTAACAATGCTCCCATTTCACATCCGCTCAGACACTTTTATCACTCAGACAGATTTTCAAGCGTGGTTGTAAACCATACCTCATTTTCGCGTTTTTGAACTCTATTCGTAAGTTTTTAGTTGTGTTTCGGAAACTTAAATATGGATCAGATATTTTAATGATCACTCTGTCTTCCTATAAGTTTTAATTTAATTGAAGTAATAAAAATTAGTGTAGAAAAATTAGTTTAAATACTGTGTATATATATATGAATCAGTAATTTCATTTTACCTTTCTATGTCGTTTACTTTTTATTACTCTCACATTCTCTGCCTAGTTGGGTGTGAACTTATAGGTCATATTAGCCAGAGTCGAGATGGCGGACACCGGAACGTAATATTTGTAGCAGGTCAGGGTCAGGCCTTAATTTTTTCTAATTTTCCCTTATTTCAGTTCTATTACGAGTTCGGGGACTAGCCAAGTAACACCGTGGTATTTGTACCTGAAATTATAGCCTAATCCTAACCAGGTACACGTACTACGTTCCGGTGTCCACCATCTTGGTACGCATACTTGAAGAGTAGCGTAAATTTTAAAAGTCTACGCAGTCTAAATTTTGGACTTCTCTATGAAATCATAGTACCGTACCAAACTTTCGCTGTGAAACTACAAAAAATTGTAAGTCAGAAATTGCTTTGTCAGTCGTTCTAATTATAATTTTGGAAAAATCGAAGTAGGAAGTATGAGTCTATTTTTAGATTTGTGATGAGTTTTTAGTGTGCTTTCTTACCAGTTGATTTTGTTATTGTTCGCTGTTTGATTCAAGTGTAATCATTGAATATTATGGTTCCTCGGGACGTCGAAATGACACGGAGTTAGCCTGTTACACTCCTGTTTTAAACCCTGGTAGATTTGAGTCCGGTTTTGATAACGCCCATTTGCATTGTTTGATGCATTACTTAAATTAAGTTGTTAACATGTGCTCGAGCTGGACGTCTAAACCAGGAATGTGCAATACTTGTTGCAGGAGGGACAGATACAAGTAATTGGGTGAAGCCGCAGGCCATACCTAGAAACTCTATACCTGCGAAAGGCTTTGAATACGAAAAGTCTTTTCATAAAAATATTGCTAAGGCTAACCCGCTAACGTAAGATTTTTTGCATACGAAACGCCGAAAACCTAAAAAATGCGTAGAGATATTTGTTTGTTTTTGGTTAATTTATTGTAGTGCTTATGAAGAATGTTCAATTCAAATTTAATATTCAAATACCGCGACGTTCAATACAGTATCGTTTTCATATTTATAAGAATACCTAATATGGCGCACATATCCTAGCGCGGCCGTCCACGTTTTGATTCGAAGCATTTTACAAATATTACATTTTTTTGTGATCGAAGACAGCCGTTTGCGGTATTGTTCGGTATTTCTCCGTTCTTTCCCTATGTACCTTTTCTAGTTATCATGCCGAAATCTAGTTTCAACATGTATTTGTTACGGGTTTACACCATTAATATATTTTATACAAATATTATGTCCGAGTTTTGACAGTTAAAATGCGTCGAACTTACGGAATTTTACTTCCAGAACGAATTAATTTTGTAGGTTTCTATTGTGGTTGCGAGCACAACATTTTTATGTTTTTGTTATTGATCTTACGGGATGGTTACGGGGTCACGGGGACATTACGCAGAAATGTTGAGTTAGAATGCCTATATTGAAATCTGCTGTTCTAATTTATTGTCCGACTTTAAACGAATTCAGTGAAAAAAAACGAGTTATAACATTGTGTATTTGGCTAGCTAGTTTCGCTAATATGACAGTGGTACTCAGGTACACTGGGATAGGTTTTGGGGCGCAAAGAGATTGGAATTGCTTTCACGTAGCAGATTAACTATAATTAAAATCTCTTTACGCGGCTACACTATTCAAAATTGGCACTTCTCCGCGAGATGCAGTTTGCACACCCCTGTCTAAACCATGCATATGCTCAAATCAGAGGTTCTCAAGATTTTTCAATAAATTCTTTCCTTTGCCTATTTTGGATCTCTTCACTTATTACCATTGCTTATTGTAACTTGCCTATGAGGCAAAATAAAAGCACTACCACACTAAACTACTATGACACTCTGCAGACGTAAAATACAAAATTGACAAGAGCTATTTCTTGAGGATATATTGTTTTGTAGCCGGAAGCTAAGCGGAAAAGCCAATGTTTATAATATACCCATTGATACCATATTATTCTCTTTTTCACTTTCTCAGTTATCGCTTCCGATTGAGACTTTCTTCTTTGTATCTCTGTACCAAGTAAACTTCATTCTTTCATAAAAATGGTGTTTTGATTCCCCTATATCAGGGGTCGGCAAAATTTTGTCGTTCGTGGGCCAAAATTAAAGGTTGTTAGTCATTGGTGGGCCGCACACATTTTTAGAAAGTTAAAAACCGAACAGTGGGCCGCTGAAACCCATTTTCTTCACACAGATCAGAAACTAGATTTTGAGCAGACTGACCATTTGAATATTTTCCGCGCCATTAAACCATTGGCACCTATAATCAACTTTTCTGCGATTTGTTGCCATTTGTCTAATTATAATTGAATTATAAGCTCAATAAACAAGTAATTGTGAATTATATACTTGTTAGGTTATATTATAATTTATTCTACACATGTCTCAAAATAAATTCTGTTACGTAAGGAATATGATCGCCAAAACTGCTGTTTTGTTACTATTCAGTGAAGCGTCTCGGGCCGGATTATATTGCGCCGCGGGCCGTAGTTTGCCGACCCCTGCCCTATATTTTGCGCCAAGCCGTATATAAATCACACACTCTGTATCTAATTAATTTATGGTAATCAAAATTTCACATCTATTTTAAATTATATGTTTAAATGCAAAACAACATTTCCACGTTGTCGCTATATAAAAAAGTTGACAACAAAAAAATGTTTCTACGCTAAGATTAACACAAAATCAGCATAAGTAAGTAGAACTCTGAGCAATCATTCAGAAAAAATTTATTCCAATTCGAGATCGGCACCGGCTTCTGCAATCACTTTCTTGAACCTTTCCAACATACTATCTTTGAAATTATCAGTATCCACCACCAACGTTTTAACCTGACATTGACGAACGATTTCAGTTATTGTTGATATTTCTTCGTTTTTCCAAGTAATAAAACACGTGTCGGATAGACTCAGTCTATTGATCTGCAATATATATAAAAAAATAAACATAGTTATCTTTGGAAAAACAAATCAATGTTGACGAATAACCTGAAACACGTTGACAAGGATAAAGGCAACTTCTTTCATTCTTACTTCATGAATATTTCGGATTAGTCTGATAATTTTAACCACCTTCTTACGGTTTTCATAGAGTACAATTGTGAGTTGAGTACGGTCAATTTTTTTCAAAAATAAATTTTATGCTAATTTATGAATTTAGGCAAAAAGGTATGTATTCTCAATACATTGTGAGTCGTATTTTATTAATATTTTGCATTTTGTCTCGATTGTTAATCAATTCATATAATTTTCACGTGGATTGAGTGGACAATACCCAATCGGGAATACTTTGTTTCTTGAAATAATATTGAGTCTGCTTGAGTACCAGTGGCTACGTGTACTTGCATAGAGCCCGGCTCTGGGCGTAACTAGGAGAACACAAGTAGAAAAAGATCGCTGCCAGACATTATATAGGTCAGACGTTAATTTTTAATCACAAAGCTAATTGATGTAGTGCTACTCAACTGGCGGACCGGTCCGAAAACGAACTTTTCGAGTGTTCGAACCGCATGCGCACCTAACTCTTTATTTGAAATCATTGGCCCCACTTTGGATATGTATGTGAATGTTTCCTTTCATTCAATGATCTTATTTTATAATTTGCTCATGATTGCACCTGACTATGGAACGAACTCTATCGCCGTAATAAACCATGTGAATAACGCTATCTTGAATAGCGAATAATCATTAGCCGTCCGAGAAAGGTTGCGTTTATCGTTGTCTAAATATTATTTCTGGAAAGACTGGACCCTAGTAATTTTGAATTTTTTATTCGGATCTTTAGTCCAAAATGGGTGAGTAGCCTTGCCGCAGTAAGCAATAAATTAAATGGTAGCCTAATTCTATTTGGAATAATGTTAATTAAAGAATGATGATCAGTTGTGCTGTAGATTTCATAACTTAGTTGCATCTGACAATGTTGATGTCGCAAATTAAAAATCTTGGTCGGGTTTAAATCCAATGTCCTTTTCACCAAAAGTATAATTTAATGACATAGTCAATGACAAACCAACCGATTTCTGGTGGTCAAAAAATAGAAGCTTTTTGAGTATCAGTGGCTCGAATATAATTGACGATTTAATTGGAGTTAAAACAATATCTGAAACCTAAATAGTTAATAGGTAAAAAGGCGACTCTTGTTTCATGACTTTTGAGTTCAATTTCATTGAAGCGAATCCGAAGTCAGCGGTATTTTGCAGACAAGAAAAATATTAGTGTTTTTAGATTTTAAAGCAAAATTGTCTAATTAGTAATTAACGCAATTTATAATTATACTGGATTTAACTATGTTAGCTTCGCGAGTTAAAATTGTCCTGAGTTTTAATCTCATATCAACCACCTCAACTCGGAATGAAATTTAATTAAGCGTGCAATGCTGAGTCAGAAAACACCGTACGCGTATCAGTAAAGCTTGTACACTTACAGAGCCTTGCTCCGAGTGAAAGTGGGAAAACGCTTCACAAGTGTCTCAGAGGTGTCGATAATCTGTACTTTGAAATCGAAATTTTCCATGCAACGGATTCTGAAACAGGCATCGCGATCCCACCACTACATGAAACAGCGGACAATAATTTTTATGTTGAGCTAAGCATTCAATTCATGACCGATTCCAGCACTTAAAATGTATTTCTATATTAACTGTGTTCAACTCAAACCGCAGTTGCGTCGACTTACGACAAAATAAAAGCACCGCTATTTTAAAATATGTGCGGTTAAATTCCATGAAGTAACATTTATTTTAGTACAATGCAATATTGATATTGAGCCTATATATCGGCATTTTCCAATGGAAAATCAAGTGCGGCCTTCTGTACAGGATAGTCTTATGCCACGGAACGTCGTTAAGTAATTTTTTTCTCGCCAGGAACTGTGCCTGCTAACGCCCTATTATGCGATCATTGGCGAAGTGACGGTAATTTAAGAAGTGACTATGAATCTCAACTTTCCGACTGAAAGTAATGGAGAAAATATTACGACTGAAATACGATGGTTTAAACTACCAAAAATAAACGAAGAACACCTTGAATTTTGACGAGTCTTCGATAGGTAGAACAAAACTCTATTTTAGTCGCTTTAAATCACTATAATTTGATTGATAACTTGGAAGCTATATCATGGTCCATTCTTAAACGGCAAAATATCAAAATTCGTTACCTGAATCATCATCTCACGAAGAAGGAAACAATCGTCGATGCTAAATAAATTAGTTTGTAAAATCTCAGGCATTTGTTACCAACTTTTTTGAGCTAATAAAAATTTAAATAAGGGGAGGTGGAGATGATCAGGATGATACACATTAATTCAGAAATGTGTCAGGAAGCTATATTATAGTACATTCACCCTGCCCAGCTGGTCGGTCTGGTGCTATTTTACATGGGTTATTTTTTTGTCAACCATCAGGCCCTAAAGCTTCACTCATGGCTTTTTGATAGCGTGTGATAGAGCTCTATTCAGCAATATATGTAAAACGCACTCCTCTAATAATTATTCCTAATAATTTAATTTTTATTTCAACGTTTTCTTGTGTTATTTTCCAACAGAATAACACCAAAATCACTATAATAGCAAGAATGGTTACTCTAAAATTCACGATTGTATTTACAGAATTTTCAAGTTCAATGCTTCAATTGACAATTTTGATGACTCACACCTTTAACTATTAGTGCACACGCCCCCCTCAATTCAAAAAAATGTTACTTTTTTCGACGGAAATGCGCGTAGAAAGACGTAAACATTCTAATGCTACGCTACGCGTGAAAATTACCATTAATTTTACGTTTTATACACGTTTAAAAAATCTCGATACCTCTGCCAAGTATGGTGCAGTGGAAACCATATTTATCAAAGCATCACAGCGCCAGGGATGGTATGTATGACTGAAAATACATGCTAAACCAATAACGAGAATATCGTTCAGAGACCGAAGACTTATCGATCGAAAGTTAGGGGAACCCCAAAACAGCGCTCTTACACCATAGTGACACCTTGTGTCCCATCACTAATCAATTGATAACTCGCTAATTATACGACATAAATAAAAAAAGTAATAAGTCATTATAAAGAAGTTAATGTTATTGATTTCCTGTCTGAGTCGCGTCAACAATTTCACACATATGACTGGCGATTTTGAAATCCACGCTATTTATATGATTCGCACTTTGCGTCACGGCTGGAGTCTCTTTTTTCGTGAAATATACGACTCTACTATAGAACAATAACTGTAAAACACAATTAATACTTTTTAGAGTTGGACTAGGCTAAATAATACTGAGTATATGCCATCCGACGGTGTTGGGTGATTATTGAGTTTGGACAGAGTTCTGCCTGCAAACGGTAAAATACCGATGTTCACTCCCTAAATCAAGGGTCTCCAACTCAAACCATGTCGCGGGCCACTTCTTGAAATTTATTGACCACGCGGGCCGCAAACCAAGAAATTAGGTACAAAAATGAATATCTGAATGTATTGTGTTAAAATTACACTTGAATCGTACAGCAAACGATACATAAAACATATGCATTTACTTGTGCTGGATATTTGGTTCCGATTTATGGCCTTATTTTGCGTTGTTTTGCTAGTCTTAAGACAGCATGCAAATGCTCGTCCATTAGTCGTGTGCGGAGGGCTGACTTGCTAACTTTCATAGTGGAAAAATTACTTGCAAATATAAGAACTGCCAAACATTGCAGGTATGCAACGTGAATGCGCAATTAGCTTTGCAAACCTTTCTTTGGGCACAATGGACTGACCGAAACTCGTTTATTTCGTCACGATGAATATGCATAATAAAATTAATGTATTTATAATAGGGATGGGCCGAGATTCGGATTCGGACTCGAGTCGAATCCACGCATTTTTTGCACTCGGATTCGATTTCGAGTCCACGTCATTTCACCGAGTCTATAATCAATTCTGTTTTCACTAATTTACGCCTACTTTTTGTACTTTTATCTCTATAAATCTCAGTACATACCCTAATTGGTTAAAACTTAAGATTAGATCTGTAACAGTATACTTCGTGTCAGTCGTGTGTATTATAAACACTCCTAATAAAAACGACCACAGATATCCAGATAATGGAACGCATGTTGAAAACTATTGATCGCTTATAACACTGAAGTCGCCGCAAGTTGTTTCCAATTTATCCATCCTTTTTGGTATACATGTGAACACTAAAATATGTGTTGGCGCAATATTTTTGAGTTTTCGATTCGCGTAAAAATGAAACATGCTTTGGATCAACCCAAGGGGGGATCTCTCTTTTAAATCGAGTTTATTACGTGCAGTCTTTTCTCTAAAAAGGGAGCAATGGAAAACGGGGAGAATTTGGGAATTTTTACATTTACAAAATTGCAAGCAGATGTTCCAAATTGTATTGATGAGTGGCATCTACCATTTGCGCACGCGACATAGTAAGTTTACGGCTAGAAGTATCTGGAATTATGGGGAAGCATTGTAGTCAAAAGCTTTTTTTTTCATATTGACATGTAAGAATTTTGAAGTAGCCGCCTAGAATTAACGGTAGGTGGTGGGCTGGAAATGCAATCCACAACCAAGGCGCACAATGACCCACGTTTGGTCAAAAACGTGTTTTTCTGCTTTTCCATCGTGACGTCACAGACTCGAAAGGTTACATTCGAGTATTTGACCTATTACTCGGATTCGTCGAATCTCTGTAATGCAGGACTCGTCCCATCCCTAATTTACAATTGAAATATAACCATAGAATAAAAAAAACATGAACGTGGTAAAGTGGAGAAACAGGGGAAAATTTTTTTGCCTCACTTTTTACAGTTTGTCGGACCGTCCTCTTGATGATAAATGACACGATAAAACTTATTAATAGTTGACATCGTACTATTTTAGTTTTTTGTGGGAAAATCCCAACCATGACGCGGGCCACATGCGGGCCATACATATG